ATAATATGGGGACAGTTGCAAAACGTTATGACCATGTGATTTAATTTTTCAGCTTTATACGTGGGTTTTGGTTCATTTTTTAATTAATTCATATAAAACATTTTTTTGCAAATTTGGTGAAAACAACAGTCCCTTGTTTTGAAGCCACTCTACCATATTTAGTTTGAGGCTTGCTATATTAGGGCTTTTATATGTTTGAACAGTGTGATATGGTGCATTGTCCATCACAATCTAACAATTATGTGGCAGGTTTAGTAAAACAGTCGTTATGGTAGTCAGTTGATTTAGTTTGTGACTATATATATATATATATATATATATATATATATATATATATATATATATATATATATATATATATATATATATATATATATATATATATATATATATATATATATATATATATATATATATATATATATATATATATATATATATATATATATATATAGTGTATGTGTGTGTGTATATATATATATATACGCGATAACTGTACGAAAAGAAATTACTACGTTGAACAAATTACTTGTCGAATTGCGATATGAAATAAATTTTAAAGGTGTGTATATTACACTATGAAAAATGTTAAAACGACTAGGATATAAATACAAAAAGTGTAAATCAAAACGTTTGTTTGTGACTTGAATAGCAGTAACTCATTATTGATAAAGCAGTCCGTACTTCCTGAATCTGTGTATGTACCTGAATCCTCTGACCAATACACCTTCTTCAGAAACTGACCGCCAAATTTGGGACCCCATAAGAATAATGCATAAATTTTTCATCTAAATAGACTATAGTCCGCCTCTCTTATCGGTATTCTTTCAATTTTATTTAAGTAATTAAATCGTCAGGCAGATATATCTTTTCGTTTCACTAAATTTTTTCGTTTTGATTTACACTTTTTTGTATTTATATCCTAGTCGTTTTAACATTTTTCATAGTGTAATAATAATAATACACACCTTTAAAATTTATTTCATATCGCAATTCGACAAGTAATTTGTTCAACGTAGTAATTTCTTTTCGTACAGTTATCGCGTATATATATATACACACACACATATATATATATATATATATATATATATATATATATATATATATTTATATAGTCACAAACTAAATCAACAGACTACCATAACGACTGTTTTACCAAACCTGCCACATAATTGTTAGATTGTGATGGACAATGAACCATATCACACTGTTCAAACATATAAAAGCCCTAATATAGCAAGCCTCAAAGTAAATATGGTAGAGTGGCTTCAAAACAAGGGACTGTTGTTTTCACCAAATTTGCCAAAAAATGTTTAATATGAATTAATTAAAAAATGAACCAAAACCCACGTATAAAGCTGAAAAATTAAATCACATGGTCATAACGTTTTGCAACTGTCCCCATATTATACGTATTTAAATCCAATTGAGGTAATGATGATCAAAAGTAATCACTTATAAAAGAACTGTTTGGGTCAATAAGCAATCAGCTTTGGAATAAAGAGTACTCACATATTACAAAAATTGAATATGAGTACATAGTGAAAGATAAAATAATAGTTGAAGGAATTGATCGCTTTTTATTGTGGGTTAGCAGTGACAACGAAACGAAAGTGATAGTGACAATGAGCATCCAAGTAACATTGAAGAAAATATGATCCCTTTACACCTTATTGCTCATAATTATATAAAGTGATTATTTTAACCCTGTCTTAATTAATTTAACCTGAATGTCTCCATTGATATATGAATTGTTTCAGAGAGTACGCTATGACACTAAAAAAGTCACATAAGTATAGTTATCAGCACCTCCGTAACAGTTGAATTTCGAAATTAATACCCTTACTCATACGAAATAAAGATGTTTTTGAGGCTTAACTGTTAGCGCTAATTGCGTTCGACTGTACATGCCAAGTTTGAACCCACAACCTCGTGCTTGAGATTCATGCATACATGCTCTTATATCTCGTTCTATAATACCTGTCCCTACATTTCGGGAACGCCATTCGCATTGAAACATGCAACACTGTAAATTACAGGGCTACCAATCGGATCACGCGTCAAGTTACGATGAACGGACAATACGCTCGAAGGGGTAATTTTTTTATTAACTGGCTTTACGGCTTTGGAATCTAGCCCTTCTGAGCTCGAAGGGGTATTTTTTTATTAACTTGCTTTACGGCTCTGGGTTCTCTAGCCTTTCTGAGCCTAACTCAAAGGGGTAATATTCGTGTTTTCCATAGAGGTTACAGGAGAACGATCGCTATAGAAAATAGTGTCCTACTAAATGTATACGTAGGTATATGGATGTGAAGGAGGCGAGAGAGGTGTGTCAGGATCGTGCCAAATGGAAGTCTGTAGTCTCTGCCTACCCCTCTTGGTGATAAGCGTGAGTTTTTATATATATTATATATTATTATTATTTATTAACAAAAAAAAATATAAATTATGTTTTTTATAATTTTAACTATTATAAATGTTATAAATTATTACAAATATAAATTATTAATTATTATTGTTTTTTTTAAATTATATTTCACCATTTTATAAAGTTTCTTTTTGTCAATAATTAAAAAATTACTTCACAGATACTAGGTACCTACCGACGGCAGCGTGGCTATAAATTATACAAATTTTCAGGAACAGGCGGGCTATGCTTTAACACGTAGCGATCGTTCTCCTGTTAGGCGTGTGTAACTCTTTACGGAACTGACTCACTAATTCGAATCACTGAAGTGATTTAAAAGATTGGTTCTATAACAACGTTTCAAATGCATCATTTGGATCTGGATCTGGAACATTACTTTGTTCTGTGCTCATTTAGTGCGACGCGTCTCGCTCGCGAGGTGGCTGAGTCACGAGCGAGAGAGACGCGACGCACTAAATGCGCGCACTCGCCAAGGGCGCGAAATAATTACAATCCATACAAGTCAGAAAGAGATAACAAACGAGAAGTGTATCACTCAACTGGTATGGATTTTTTCTATAATTATTCATGCACGTAAAAGTGACCACTAAGGCGCTTACGTATCAAATACTATACGGTCGTATTTTGCACACCATGTTTACTTTAAAAAGTTGTCATTCTACGTTGATCCGGCACTTGTCAAATTGTTTATATTCGTTGCCGCCTGTTTACGAAAACATACTGATTTTTTTTTAGGATTTCTTTGCGTAGTGATTATTGTGACATACTTTCTTCCTTTAGACTATAGTCCGCCTCTCTTATCGGTATTCTTTCAATTTTATTTAAGTAATTAAATCGTCAGGCAGATATATCTGTTCGTTTTACTAAATTTTTTCGTTTTGATTTACACTTTTTTAGCATTTTACAAACTGCTGTTAGTCTAATTCTTTGTAACCGGTCACCCTAAAAATATACCGGTCATGGCGGCAATTCAGGCACGAACATGTTGCAATGGCTAAATCAGCTTGTTTTCAGCCTTTTCTTTTTACAAAAAATGACTTGAATAATAGTTTGTCGTTTAGCAATTTTAACCACTTTCAGCATTTTTAAAACTAAGATAACATAATTAAGAAGCAAAAGAGCACACAGATAGCAACCGATCAAGTTCAAAGAAAGATGACGGCTAAGAAAACAGTGCTACCAATCATTCACGCGTCAAGTTAAGATGAACGGACAATAGACAGAGAATCTTATCTCTGTCTACGCCTTCGAGCATATAGACACGTTAGTACTCGTAGATAGAGAAACCTATAGACTAATGATTAGCGTGGCCTCGAGTGAGAAAGGACGATAACGTAGTTTTAGGTTATACAATAATCTTTATGACTTTAAAAAAAAACCAGCACGGAGAAAGGGACAAACAATAACACCGCTCTGTCTCATTTCTATGCAAAACGTATGCATAAATCTATCTTTTTTCGTGTGCGAATGCGAAAGAAGGCGTCAATTTGTCTATAGGTTTCTCTGTCTACGTTAGTACTCTTGTTAGTTTGTGATATAGACCATGAAGGTTAGAGAACAGGAGAACGATCACTACGTACTAAAGCATAGCCCGCCTGTCCTTGAAAATTGTAAAATTTATAGCGGCGCTGACGTCGGTGAGTAGTGACTGCGATCTAGCTGTTTATGAAAATTTTCATAATCCGTAATTTTGTAATTTTTGACAAAAAGATATATTGTGCGTGGATGTGCAAGTGGTTTAGCATCTGATCGGAAAAATAGACTGAAAATGACTTTTATTGACCGAACTTAGCGATTGCAGCGCCTCACTATGGTGTCCATATTTCTGGGACACTATTTTCTACGGCGATCGTTCTCCTGTTCTCTAACCTTCATGATGTAGACTATTTTCTATGCTCGAAGATTTACCCTCATGTCAAACTCAACTTCACAGCACAGAGGTATATTGGGTATGTTCCGAAATACAACGCAGTGTACTGTCCAATGCAAATGACGTCATGAATCGACGCTATACTGGTGATTCGTTCCAAAACATTGGACAGTATATGACGTCATACTTTTGCGCCATTTGGAAAAGTGTTGGCGATTATTTTGTCATTTTGTGCTCCAAAAATCAATATATCCTCCTAATGGATATACCATCAATTATTTTATAATTTTTTGTATTTGATAAATAGAAACAAATTCTGGCATGCTTCATTCGGCAAACATACAATTAAAAATTGTTTTATTATGGCCGGATATCCGACACAATATGGGGGCGGCCATAGATAAATAAATATGTAGCAAGCTAGTGGCGGCACGCTAGTACAATAAAGTGTCAAATGATACGTCATTTGCATTGGACAGTACACTGCGTTGTATTTCGGAACATACCCTTTTAAAAGTCAATTGTCAATGTCTTTGTTTGTCATAACAATCGAATGGAATTTCTTATTTTATAACTTGATCAGAATGATTTCCTTTCTACATAGTGCTCAAATTAAGTAGTATATTAGTATAATAATCATTAATAATTTAAGTAAAATCCAAATCTATTTTAGTTACAAAAATGTATAGTGTAACTAAAATGAGGTGTGTATTTACATTATATTTTATTATTTATAAGGTTAAGAAGTACCATAATAAGTATATTTTTAGGAAACAAGGGCTTGGAGTTGCATTGTGTAGATATTTAAGTTCAGCTGAAATTTCTACAGCGTTAAGGCCATTTTATTTTAGTGTCCATCCAGACCTTTTTGGAAAATACCCAGAACAAAGAGTATGTACCGATCATAATAATATTTTAATCAGCAATTGCAACTGCTTAATTTAATAATTTTGGTTATTACAGAAAACCAATGAAAATTCTTTACAACAACTAAGCGCCCTTTTAGAGGCTCAACAATCTAGTCGCACTATGTCAATACCAGTACTTCAATTTTATTTAAGGCAAAAGGATATGCCTGAAGGTAATAAATGTAACTAAAACATGTGAATACAAATAAATCCCATCTTTAACATCTCTATGTCGTTTTCAGGTCACTTCAAATTAGTGAAAATTAACCTGAATGGCAACAATGTTAGAGAAACTGTAGTGAAAATATTAAGCGCTTGTGATATATCAACAAATTATGTAGACAAAATACCTAAAAATGTAACAAAACCTGAATTTAGGTGAATAAATATTTTATAACCTATTTGTATAAAATGTTCTTATTGAGATTGTTAAGTTCTATAAAAGCATACTTATTCAGATAGTTGCTCATTTTTTGCATTTTATAGTTTAACTATTATGATTAACACATTTGAGAGTATTATAGTGTAATATATTTTTTTGAAAAGAATTTTGATTTCCGATTTATTTTGTGTACTGAAATCAGTTAATAAGTATATTTTCTTGCAGTAAACATGAATTTACTAGAGCTTATCAAGAATATAATGATGAATTTGAAAAAGTTTCCCGAATGAAAAGAAAGGTGGAAGAAAAAAAGGCTATTAGTAATATTATGTATGCATACTTGCAAATCTTTATTTATTACGTTACATTCTAAATTTAAAAACACTTATGTAACATTTTATACATTTTAGAAGTTGGATACATGAAAACAGTACTATAGCAAAATCCAAGTATGAATCAACGAAAGCTACAAGAGACCATGTAAAATCTCTGACAGAGGACCTTTGTAAAACTTATGGTATAAAAGAAGTTGGTAAAACAATTCTTTTTTATATTTCATTTAAAACATGTTAAACCCCAAATTAGATAAAATTTAAATTTCTCAAGCATACATTTCACATGAACAATCACCTAGCTCAGAAAAAAAAATTTAAAGATATGTAGGCCATACACACTGTGAGAGTTACCACATGCAATGTGACAGCTGTATAATATAGCTTAGGCTTAAACTTCCATTGCAAAAATAATATAGTGCAAGCCTTCAAGCCTACTTGCAGGAAATGAAGTGAGACCACAATTAGGTAATTTGGGATATGAAATTATCAAAGTAGTAATATCATTCATTACCTTGTTAAGTGGTAAAGCTGTAGCAATGTTATGGTTGTAGCATAATTGGGAAGGACATTCACAGAATACATATTTGTAGATAACCAGACCCTTATTACTGGAGATGAGGTATTCCATCTCAGTCGTCAGTATTTACATTTTGAAAAAAATTTGTAGAGGTTCTTATAATTGTGGGAAGGGAATATTAGTAATGCTTATAGCTTTGTTAGTTTTTTTTTTAATGGCTATCTCATTACATTGTCAGTTCAGCTTAGGAAAGTGCTACACTTGGTGTTTCTCTGCATGAGATAAACTATGTAAATATGCAAAGCAAAAATTACCATAAACATACAAATTTAAATATGAGTTACAGAGTTACATAAACATAAGATACAATTTTTTTATAATAATATAAATAATAATATTATATTAATATAAAAATCGAAAGATACAAAATATTTTTTAAATTTTTTATTCAATCGGACTCAGATTTTATAGAGTCAAACTCCTATAAGTGAAGTATAAATACATAACAAACACAAATACATTACATCTTCATATAAAAATTTAAAAAATAAATAATAAAAATATATTTTCATTCTATTTTAATATTGGGTCCTTACATATGAAATTAGCATTTTGTCGTACTGACCACTTTGATCTGAAATATCTCCTCTTTGGTTAAGAATTCCATAACCAAATTTATAAATTCATTTATCTGGTGCATTTGAGTTTTGAAAACAGTCATTCATTTGTTTTTTCCTCATAATTTTTTTCTTTGATGTCGCTTATTACCGCACAATGGAAAATATGAAATATCGATATATTTACGAGTACGAGTTCTACCGTGGCACCAGTACTGCAGAAACAGCTCGAAGAATTAACGATGTGTACGGCGCTGGTGTCGCAAAAGAAAGCACGGTACGTTTTTGGTTTCAACGTTTTCATTCTGGAAATTTCGACCTTCAGAACCAACCCCGTGGACGGCTGGAGAACAAAGTGGAAAATGAAGAATTAGAGGCTATTGTGGAAGCGGATCCGTCACATAGCACTTCATAGATAGCTTCAGAAGAAAAATGTTAGTTTAGAAAAAAAAGTTAGAAAAATGTTAGGTAGTTTTCAGAAGAAAAATGTTACTTTATTTAGAATCTAAGTTTTAGATGATAAATGTAACCCCCTTTTAATTTCTCACAAATACGCAATTTTGCTACTGTACTATTAAATTTTACGATATTTAACTTTTCGCAACATTACTCTGTGTTAGTTGTGGTTACCTATAACTGGGTGAGCACATTGCATGTTTCTCACAATGCTTGGTTCTTGTTTTTAGTATTTGTGTATCATCTGTCGGTGACCCTTATAAATAAATAAATAAAAAATAAATAGCTGCAGGCTTCGGGGTAATTGAAAAACTGTATTAATCCACGCAAAACAAATCAGGAAAGTAAAACACTTGAATGATGGCTGCCTCATAAATTGAGTGAATTGAACTTGCAAACACGTGTCGACTGCTGTGTTACTTTGCTCACCCAACAAAAAAATGAAGGATGTTAAATCGAATCATTACTTGTGATGAAAAATGGATAATGTACGATAATCGGAAGAGCTCATCGCAATGGCTGAACCCTGGAGACCCAGCTAAATCCTGCCCTAAATGAAAATTGACTCAGAAAAAGTGACTTGTGAGTGTTTGGTGGACTAGCGCTGGTGTTGTTCACTATAGCTTTCTAAAATCTGGCGAAACGATTATGGCAGATATCTATTGTCAGCAACTGCAAACCATGAAGTAAGAACGAGCTGCTAAACAACGGAGATTGGTCAATCGCTCTAGGCCACTGCTGCTTCACGACAACGCGGGACCACACACTGCACAACAAACAACCACTAAGTTAGATGAGCTATAATTGGAATGTCTGCGACATCCACCATACTCCCCGGACCTTACTCCAACAAATTACCTTTTTTCCGGAATTTGGACAACTTCTTACAAGGAAAAAAATTAAACTCCGATGCGGCAGTCCAAACCACCCTCAAAGAGTTTATTAATTCATGCCCCCATGGTTATTTTTAGTAAAAGGATCAATGAACTACCTACGATATGGCAAAAGTGCATAGATAACAATGGTACATACTTTGATTAATTAAATATATTTTACAAAAAAAAAATTACATTATATTCCCGTACAAAACGCCAATTTCATATGTAAGGACTTATTATTATATTTATGTAAATTTACTTGAGTATAGTATCTTCTGTGCATCTAAAAATTTTTATTTGCAAAAGTATTCTCGTCATCACTTGTTTGAATATTAAATCTCATACTAAAATGAACAAAGTTGTGAGACCTTAAAATGTTGTGATATGCTAAAATTTGGATCGATTTCATTAACTTTCCTATTGGAAAATCAAAACTACTATTATAAATAAAAAAGATCATAAACGCGATTGCTGATCATGAGGTCTCGGGTTCAAATCCCGGGTCGGGACAAAATAATTTATTGGGGTTTTTTATTCAAGAAATCCTCAATAGCTGCCCGGAGTCAGGAAGTTGGCGGTGTCTCACCCCCGTGCCTCGGAAAGCACGTAAAGCCGCTGGTCCTGCGCCTGATCTCTGATCGTGTCGGTTTACGGTCCAAGTGTGAGTGAGGGAATAGAGAGTGCACCTGTGCTTGCGCGTACACTTAAGCACTATAAGAATGTCTTGCGCAGATGGCTAGTCGTCATTGAGACTGGCTACCGTGAACGAATTTCGGTCTGTATTATATTATTAATAATTAAAAGTTAAAATAATTTTTTTCTTGTTCATAAGGTCAAATATGACAGTGGTTGGAACATAAGTCATATCAGAGGAGCTCTTCAAAGTCTTGTCTCTTTAGCATCACAACATTCAAAGGATATGATTAACTTAAAAGGTTTGTATGTTTAATTGACATGCTTTCTGCTTTTTGCAACCAGGAAGCGGGACACCTCACCCTACTCCCTACGGTCCAGAAATGGCAGCTCCTAAGATAAGCTGCTCAGAGTGAGCTCGCCAAGCTTACTCGATCGGCTTTCATTTTATTTAGGATAGTAGTCAACACCTATTTTAACACTCATATAAAGCGCCATCATCAACTTGGAATATTTTTACATCTTACACGTAAATATAATGTTTAATTATTTATGTATGTATGTGTAAAGCGACTTAATGGTAAGCTTGATTTGTTTAAAATCAATCTATAGTCTCGAGTCAGAGAGCAGAGCATCCAGCCTCCCAGTATTCTATATATGTACATTCTGGAGAGTGTATAGAGGAAGGCACGCGTTCAAATTAAGCGATTTGCTTCGTCATTCATATTAGGTACATAAAACAAAGAAGTGGAATGATTTGCCAGCGTCTCTCTTTCCTTCTGATTACGACTTGTGTACTTTAATACTTGAAAATGGCTTGTACTATACTAAAACAGCGATTTACCACCTAAGACATCAATCTTACATTCATTATGTTACGTATTGTTGCGTTTGTTTCGTGAAATGTACTTAACATCATAACATTTGTATTTACTATAACTAACAGTAAAGTAAGTTTAAGTTTATACTTACAAGTTACTTTTATACGTCCCACGGCTGGGCACAGGCTACCTCTAATTTCTGAGAGGGTCTTACTTAATATTATTACAATCATAGAATACTATAATACACAATAGAATGGCTGTCAACTTTATTTTGTACGAAGAGAGGCGTCGCCGGGAGCATACATACTAGAAATTGCGTCGTATTATCACTACTACAAACCCGATTCGCTGTGTTTACAGACAGATTTTAATACATATTTATTTGTAAATAGGGTGCAATTTGGCATTTTCTAAATAATTTGCATGCGAAATATGGAAACGATTGTAACGTCAAAACACATCTCATGTTGACGATTATACGTGTGAAATGACGTGTTAGTGACATTTTAGTGGCTACACGGGCTCCGCCCACTATCCCGTTCTATTATGTATGCAATTATAGTATTCTATGATTACAATGTAAGTATTCCATAAAAATGTATAAATCAATGTATAAATAAATCAAGAAGTTTTATTTTTGTTTTATTTCCAGGAAGGACAATAGCACTAGGACAATTTACAGGGGTAAGCTTAGACGGAGATGTTTTTCTTAATATTATCGACGTTAGAAACGAATGGTTATCTGTAAGTAATTCAGTATTGATTTTGTTCATTACAATGTTGCTTAAATTATATTGTTGTTGTTATGCATTCTGTTTCAGTTAATTAAAAAAGTTAGTCAACAGGATAGCGCATTAGCACAGATACCTAATTATGAGAAAGCTTTATCACGGATATTAAGAGATATTCATATCTGTCGAAGGTACAACCTTATAAATTCACTCCAATATCTGCAACGTAATAAAAACAATTGCTACTATAATATTTGATATTTTTAGAAAGTTCATGCCCAAAGTTTCTGCAATTCAGTATTGCAATCATTTGCGACAACTCATTACTTCGATCGGCGATTTCTACGGACGCGGCAAAAAGTTTCCAGACTCGGTACCCGAATCTCTTAGCAAATATGAAATTGTTGTAGAACCGTGAGTGCAAATTATGTTGTTTTACTTAATTTTAACTTTATGAAATTGATGTATAGTTTTGATTTTTCATTTATTTTTCCTATTTTACTATTTCACACTTGTTTCCTTGACAAAATTTTATGTGTTAAAAGAATAATTTTTCTGGATGTTAGAAGTGGTTTTGAAATTAAAAAAAAAACGGAAAGGGGAATATCTCGCTCCTATTTAACATTATTACTGCGGGAAATGTCAGTATCAATAAATAAATCCATAGTTGTTTTAGTAATTCTATTAGAATAGCTTCGCTCGTTGGATATTCTGTCAGTTATTTTAATAAACAAAAAAATTGTTTATAAAAATAACTTTGCCGGAATATCGAACGAGCTTGTTGAATTTACTACAAAAAACACACGCTATAGGTATATAGTTACTAAATAACAACCTAATAACAACATAGACTTATACATTATTTTTTTTTATATAGGAAAAGGGTGACAAACGAGCACACAGTCCACCTGATATTAAGTGGTTGCTGTGGCCCATAGACATCTACATCTATCTTCGTTTGCAAATCAAAATGAAGATGCGTTGTCAGCCTTGAGGACTAAGATGGAATGCCTCTTTTCCAGTAAAAAGGGTCTCCGGTTCTCTACACTCACCATACGAAACACAGCAGCATTAAGCTGCTATTTGACGCTGGTATTCTATGAGAGTGTAGTCCTTCCCCGGTCGAGCCGACTCATTCGTGCTACAACTATACAATTAATATAGCAGCATCACGGCTCTACTGAGCTACTAGAACCGTGGTAGCTCAGATGGTTAGCGCTCGCTGTAAATTTCACAATACGCGAGCAAACCGGGTTCGATCCCCGCCGGCATCAATGAAATTGTTAATTGCAGTTTTAAGTGCTGATTTACCTCGTGTTCGGCGGTGAAGGAAAACATCGTGAGGAAACCTGCATGTCTGAGAAATAAGAAAAAAAATATTTCGAAGACATGTGAAGTTCGCCAACACACATTGGGGCAGCACGGCGGACTATGCCTTGACCTAAAAGCCTCTCAGAAATGAGAGGAGGCCTGTGCCCAGCAATGGGATGTATATAGGCTGTAACTTTTACTGCTTAAGTAAAACTTATACATAGAGCAACACGGGCCACTTACCGGAGGAGAGTACAGAGTAGCCATACACAGGCGTTCCCCTCTGTCAAAATATAAGTCCACGCGGTCCTGTGCGTAGGTAGGTACAATAAAACTAGTTGCAGCCATACTGCTAAACGAAATCTAGTTGCACGGCTGAATCGACGTCCTACAAAAATGCAAAATAGTTATCTTGTAGTATTTTTGCTGCAAAAAGAGTTCTGCAACGGCAAATTTACTAGACAATGGCATTAGCTTTCATATAGCAGGATGTTCTGAAAAGTTTCCGACCTCAACGTGAAGATGGCAGTACTAGTTAATAAAAGCTAGTGAATATAGTTGTGCATCTTTTGACAGTTACGCACCAAAATTTCAGCCATTTTGGATGTGTAGTTGTTATTTGACAGTCGTTTGAGTGAGTTAATGTGTTTTCTGTGACAGTGGAAAAAATTGAATATCGAACATTTATTAAAGTTTTGATTTTGAAAGACAGTACGCCTACGCAAATCAAAGATTAGTTGGACTCTGTACCATCATTTATCAATGAACCGTGAAATTTTGGGCAGCTGAATTTAAGGACGCGTTTTCAAATCAACCAAAATTAGGGTGTTTTTCGGTACATTTTGTGACAAAACTAAACCAAATCAAATATAAGTAAAAACTACCATGTATAGATTAGTTCTTCATCTGCAAACATCTGTAACTCTTTTTGTTAAAAATAGTAGTTTTTTATATTGTAAAAACGAAATTTCGTTGCCATTTTCTACAAAATTAACGATACCGGCTTGTGTTTCGGTACATGTTTTGGTCTATTATCAACATATTTAAAAATTTTAAAAAATACTGTAAGATGACAGACATATTCAATTAAAAAACCCTGGGTTTATTTTTTAACAAAATGTCACAAATAGTCGTAAAAAAAATAAAAACTGATGCATATTTTTTCACATATTTTGGTAATACGGATGAATCATAATCTATTGCAATAAGGGCTATTTTATTGTTGGTGCCTGCTTTGATTTATTGTACAAAGATTTCGATGAAACCACATTCCGCGCTCGGCCGCCGTCATTGGACACTGTATTGCCTGTTTGCAGCGGCTCATTCTGAAAAGATCGCTGTACATACACAAAATATTAGAAAAAAACAAATTGGAAACATAAGTACTTGACAAGTGATAAAATTATTATTTTTGTACTCACAGTTTTTTATTTAGCTAAAAATAAGTAGAATATATAAACTTACCTACTACTGCAACTCCTGGACGAGCGGAACTAGGTATGCCGAGTTTGGGCTCCGTTTTGTTAGTTATGACGAGTCCATACCTCCGGACTTGATGGAGTGACCTGAAGGTGAAATTCCAGCAGTAGTTACTGAATTACCCCTTCAGGTCACTCCATCAAGTCTGGTGGTAAGGTCTCATCATAACTAACAAAACGAACCCAAACTCGGCACACCTAATTCTACTAGTCTAGGAGTTCCACTTGTAATCACCGAATTACACCTTCAGGTCACTCCATCAAGTCCGGTGGTAAGGTCTCATCATAACCAACAAAACAAACCCAAACTCGGCACACCCAGTTCCACTAGTCTAGGAGTTCCTGTTGTAATCACCAAATTACACCTTCAGGTCACTCCATCAAGTCCGCAGGTAGGTAAGGTCTTATTATAACTGACAAAACTAGTTCAAAGTCCAGAGCACTAAAACATCTCACTACCAGTAGAGGGCTTCCAGTGCCAAGCAGTCTTTGGAGCAGGTATTCATATTTCGTATCGAAGTATATTTCTGAGGTAGGTATAAGAAATGAAAAACAAATTCAATCTTTCAAATTATCAAAATAATTTCATTTGACTACGATTCCCACAGCCAACCGTGCGTACACTAGTGTGTGTGTGACTTTTGTCAATGTAGTAGTGCGATTCTATACCTATCCATTTTGTAAACGCGTCCTTAAACATGCTACAACTGCAACTACTGACGATAACATCGCTAAAGTTCACCAAATGGTGCTAGACGACTGCCGAATGAAGTAAAAGAGATAGAAGTTAAAGAATATCATATATTAAATCAAGATTTATGCATGAGAAAGCTGTTTGCGCATTGGGTACCGTGTTTGCCCCAGTTAGACCAAAAACGTGATCGAATGAACATTTCCAACGCTCTGTTGGCGCAGTTTAGGCGCAATAAATTGGAGTTTTAGCACCGATTAATTACTGTGGATGAATATTGGATATACCATTTGTTTACGCCAAATCGTGGCAATTTGAAACTTGCAAGGGCCTCCCTCTTACAAACGACTTTTTTGTTCCCGAAGTCAAGCAGTTCAAACCGTAATTCGTGGATTTTCGCCATGGCATCCGTTGAGGTGTGAGACTGCGCGTTGTCATGGTGAAACACGATTTTCTTTTCTGCATATTATGTGGCAATTTTTTTCGTAATTTCTGCTTACAGTGTGTCAAGTAATGATGCGTAGAATGCTCCTGTAATGGTTTTTCTTTTTGAAGATAATCAATTAAGAGAACTCTACGACCATCCCAAAATACAGTCGCCATGGGGTGCTGGGAAGGTGCCAGCCGAAAAAAGAGTGGCTTTTTTTGGAGCCGGTTCCCCTTTGCAGTTCAGTTTCGACTGTATTTTTGTTTTGGGCGTATAATGGTGTTTACGCTAAATCGTGGCAATTTGTAACTTGCAAGGCGCTCGTCGGACGAGGAAACGGTTGGCGGGTTGCGCGGGGGTTTTCGTCTTGCGACCTGCGACCGCGCCTGTTAGTCTGAAATAATCTTTGTGCGCGACGGCTGTGCCGGTGGAGGTTGGGAATTGAGTCTAGAATCTTCGATTGTACGCGACGGCCATGTCACTTAACAATGCGCCCACGGCGCCATACAAAGGCAAAGCGTTAGGTTCTTTAACTAACACGAGGTCTCCAACCCGATGAGGATCCGTCTTGTCAGACCACTTAGCGCGCTGCTGCAAAATATGTAGACCCATCGGTGCCAATAACTCTGAGTCATTTGTTGCAGCAGGTCAAATCCGCTTAACCGCGAAGAGTTTGTTTCCCTGAAGGGGTACTCGGGCAGGGCATTAAGCGGTTGGCCAATCAGGAAATGGCCCGGGGTTAGAACCTCCAAATCATTCGGATCGGACGAGAGAGGACAGAGGGGCCGAGAGTTGAGTACCGCCACAATTTTGCAGCTTCAATTATACAGTGGCAAGCTCCTCAAATGTCAAAATAGTTTCGCCAATAACGCGACGGAGATGCGTTTTTGCAACCTTAACCACCGCCTCAAATATACCGCCCCAGTATGGGCAATCCGGAGGGTCGAATTTCCACTGGATGCCCTTCTTGGATATCGCAGTACCTAAATAAGTCCTGTTGCTGGACAGAAATTCGACGACCTCTTTCAAATATCTATCCGTGCCCTTATAATTCGTTCCGCAATCAGACCGGATCAGGTCCGGCAAACCGCGACGCGATACGAAGCGGCCCAGCGTGGCCACAAAGGCTTCAGTGCTGAGGGCACTTACAAGTTCTAAGTAAACGGCCTTAGTGGCGAGGCATACGAAAACGCACAGATAGGCCTTATGTGAACGCGCGTTACGAAGGTTGGAGGACTTGAGCAAAGTCGGTTCCGACTCTAGCGAATGGTCGGATGGCCCTGACGCGATCGGGTGGTAAGTCACCCATCATCTTTCAGTTTATAACAAGGTATGCACTTAAAGATAACGCTCCGAATGGTGCGTCGGCCAGCCAAAATCCAAAACTCCCGCTGCAAAATAGCCGAAAGAGCGTTACACCCAGCGTGGGCATTCTGAACATGATGGTGAGTTACCAGCAACCGAACAAAGGCGCCGTCCTTAGGGAGCAGTAACGGGTGTCGAGCCCCGTACGTCAGTTGAGAATTTTTCAAACTTCCGCCAACGCGCAGCATCCCAGCAACGTCGAGGAAGAGGTTCAGGCGGGCCAGAGCGCCCTTGACAATGGAGCCCCGCTTCAAGATTTCAATCACGGGCTTAAAATGCTCCGCTTGGACCATACGGGTCCAATGCATCAAGGCTTCGCGACGCTCGCTAGGGGAGCCCTAGTCTTCCCACTAACCAAGTGGAGGCCACACAGCGTTGTCAACCCGAATCCAATAGAGCGCGAACCGTTAAACATCACTAAGGCCGTCGGCAATAGAACAGTTTGACAAGTAGACTGTTGACGGCTCAAAGGATCAGTGGAGGCGGCTGTGTGGGAGCTAACGCGGCAGCTATCTAGCTGGGGCTGCCTCCATCGGACCGGCACTCGATCCGAGGGTCCCGAAAGCGGCATTTCGGCGACATTTCAACGACCCGTCGTTGGAAATAACCGGACGGGCCGACCTGGGGAGCTTCAGGGAACCTCGGCCTTGAGGCCCGGGACAGATTCGAGGTCGCAGGAACCCCGTGGTACCGGTACCGAACAAAGGTGGAGGGTGGAACTCCAGACGCGGCCGCTCAGCTAACGGGGGTGAGAAGGGTCTAGCTGACCGCTGAGTGGCTGTGAAGTTCCTCTCAACACGCCGAGGGGGGGGCTGACGACCCCCCTGCCCTAGGGGAACGACCCCCCGACTGGTCGGGGGAGGGACCCCTTCAAACCCAGGGGCCCGGTGGCCGGCAGGGGAGCGCCGAGCGTCGCCCGACAGAGGGCGTGGCTGAGCGCCCCCGCCCGTGGGAGTTGAGGGCCCGGCAGAGCCCCGAGAGGAAGCGCCGCTCGCACCCAGGCACAACACGACAGGGCCGCTGGTGCGGGCAGTCTCGCTGGAGGTGCCTTTCCAAACACGAGTAGTACCAGCGGCACTCCTTGGCGATGGTTCGCCTCGCCGAGACCGGCTTACCCAGCAACTTAGGGCACAACGTCACCCGGTGATCGGATGCTCGACAATAGGAGCAGGGGGGCGCCTCCCTAGCCGCTAGGCCGCTATAAGACGGTAGGGAGTGGCGCCCTCCCGCGGGATCTCCGCTCGGTCTTAGGGGGGTTTGGCGACGACTTGCCCGGTGGACTTCGCCCCTCCCTGGGAACGGCTCTGTTGGCAACCCGTAGTTCGTTGACGGTGCCCGCTACGTTCTCAATTTTCCGGCACTGCTCCTCCAAGAACCGTAGCAGGTCCCTGAAGAGTGGAATATAGGAGGCACCGTCCCCGCCGTACCTCTCCTCAAAATGGATCCGAAGATCGAGAAGCAGGCGGGACAACACGATGTGGAGCAACAAGAAGGACCATTCGTCCACCGGTAAATCTAGCCGCCTCAAAGAATTACAGGCTAGGATTTACGATGTCCGGACGTAGTCTGGGCCGGTCCCTAAGCAGCGGGAGGTTTAGAAGCTGCCTAACGTATTCGTCCGCAATTCGCCGGACGTTGGCGTACCTTCCAGCGAGGAGGTCCCGGGCGGTCTGCTAGGCGTCTTCCGACAATTTCAAATGGCCGACGACACCCAGGGCATCGCCTTCCAGTGAGGCCAGGTGATACGCCATCTTCTGGCTTGGTTTCAAGTCCCTCCGGGCGTCCACTAGGCTGTCAAGAAGGCCAACAAAGGTCAGCCAGTCGGAAAGGACCCCGGAGAACCTTGGCAAGTCCAGAGTTGGGAGTCATCCCAACAGCTTCTGCTAAGTAGGCTGCTTCCGAGGGGACTCGAGCAGGCCACTCAGCCTAGATTCACGCGCTTCACTAGCATACTTGGCCCCCGCCTCGATCAAGTCGTCCGTGAGCGAAAAGAATTGCTCGCAGTCCGCGAGGCGGGAGTCTAGGACTCCCTGTTCCGCATCCGAGGCCAAAAGCTCAGTGCAAGCCTCCTCCACTACGACCGTTCGGGCCCTGACCTGGCATTGTATGTGTGGCAGTGGCATCACTACTAAATACAAATTACTACTAAATTAAATTAAATACAATTACACTACACGGCAAGTACAGTCGGTCAGCAAAGATGCCCCGCACAGGCGACCGACCCTTCGGCAATTTCGGTTTCGGTTTAAAGATCTTTATTTCTCAATAAGACAATAGTCACTTACATGAGAACAATAACTATATGAACTTAGTAATAACAATTTTTAGTGCGGGTATAAATAACTTTGTTGGATGTCGCTTTTAAGAAGCGAATATCTTTGTTGTTTATTCAAACTATAAGGTGGTGGTCCAAGTTTAATAATGTTTTTTTATTTTTATTTAATAATGATTAAGGTTAAGTATTTAGCTGTTGTGAATATAGGTAGGCAAGTAACTTCTGTTTGAAAACATTCAAAGGTTTCGCCTCCTTTACAAATTTAAGTAGTTTGTTGTATAACTGTGCTCCTTTATACGTTATATTATTTTTACCATAGTTTGTTCTTATAGGCGGCAATACAAGGTGACTAGCTCGGCGTGTTATGTATTTGTTTGTTTGCTTCTTTGTTAAAAACGTGAGTTGTGTGTGAATTAATTTATGTTTTATTTTATATATAAGTATGCATGTGCTATATATATAAAGTTGAGTAACGTTCAACAGTTTAGTTTCCTTATATATTGTATTAGTTGGTGTTAAAAAGTTATAGTTAAACAAAATTTTTATGATACGGTTTTGTAGCACTTGGAGAGGTTTAAGATTGGTTTTGACTGCATTACCCCATACCTCTACAAGGTAAAGTAAGTGAGGTTTTACTAGAGAGTTATATATTAGGATTCGGGCTTTATCGGAATTTAATCTACTTACCCGAAATACTTGACGCGTAGGTACCTAACAGTAAACTACACTCCGCTTGCGCAGCCTAACGAGCGTGGTTCTAACCACCGATCCGCTAACAAAACAAAAAAAATATTATTATATTACGGCCAGGCGTGATTGGCTAAACAAGTAACCACGCTCTGCTACCAGAAAATGTTACGGCCTTCAGTTACCCCGACAAAAGTCGACTGAACTATGGCCCTTAGTAACCCAACTCGACGAGCAACTGAGGGGAGGGCCCTAATGGCCTATGGATAATTAATTTATAACGGCTGCTATAAACAAACACCAACTTACCGAGTTCCGGAGGTAGTGTCGACCACAAGGCACCGTCAGGGGTAAGTAAATGGTATGTGTGAGTGGTGTAGGAAAATGTGTAATGTAACCTGATGTCACCGAGGTAAACGTTCAGCAGAACCACATGCGTTGCCCGCTCGACAAGGCGCTCACCGCTATCGGAACTCAAGTTCAACGTCATTTAGCACAAATATAATCGAAGAGAACACGATCTCCTCCGGATCACAAAGTTTAGCGTTCAACCGACAAGCAAAATTCCTTCATACGATATTACATTACTACACAAGCCACACGTCGACGCAAATTAATGGCAATCGAAGTTACATTAGTCACTCTACTCAAGGAAAGCCTCATTGTCACGTATATTAACGAAATAAGACAACACAAAGGAGGCCGTCGTAATGCGACGTAACAATTCTTATGTAACTCGCGACCTCTAATCGACACGGCCGTCGCGTACAATCGAAGATTCTAGACTCAATTCCCGACCTCCACCGGCACAGCCGTCGCGCACAAAGATTATTTCAGACTAACAGGCGCGGTCGCAGGTCGCAAGACGAAAACCCCCCGTGTAACCCGCCAACCGGTTCCTCGTCCGACGAGCGCCTTGCAAGTTTCAAATAGCCACGATTTGGCGTAAATACCATTATACGCCCAAAACAAATTACAGTCGAAACGAACTGCAAAGGGGAACCGGCTCCAAAAAAGCCAAACTTTTTTCGGCTGGGAAGGTGATGGCGACTGTATTTTGGGATAGTCGTAGAATTCTCTTAATTGATTATCTTCAAAGAGGAAAAACCATTACAGGAGCATTCTACGCATCATTACTTGAATATTATATAAAATTATGTAACACACTGAAATCAGAAATTGCGAAAACTGCCACATAATATGCAGAAAAGAAAATCGTGTTTCACCACGATAACGCGCCGTCTCACACCTCAACTGTTGCCATGGCGAAAATCCACGAATTACGGTTTGAACTGCTTGACTTCGGGAACAAAAAAAGTCGTTTGTAAGTAAGGGGGAGGCCCTTATTTACAATCGACTTTTTTTCTTCCCGAATCTAAAAATTGAGCTAGGAGGACAGAGATTTTTGTCAAAAGGTGGTGATTACCTCCGTGAACAATTATTTTACAGAGAAAAACGCCGATTACTATTTGGACGGGTTAGAGAGAGGGAAGCATCGTTGGGAGAAGTGTATAGAGTTACAAGGAGACTATGTAGAAAAATATAAATACATTTTAAGAAAAAAATTTTAATCACATTATTACTGTTTACTTCTTTTTAAACTTAAAAAGTACAATAATAACGGTCGTGTTGTTTCGGATTTGTTTACCAACGCAGGCCACTCGCCCTCATAAAATATACGGATCGGTCGAGCGATTGATCCGAGACTGTATTCGGATTGTCTCTGTCACGGAGCGATACTGCTATAATGTATCTATGTTTTTGTGAAATTGTTTGTACCTATATTGTTTTAATTGTTATGTGCAAGTTTCGTAAAGACAGACTATTGTTTTTATGTGCGCAGATTTTTCCCTCGCAATAAATGACAGGACAGTTCGGTATCGGGAAAAAACATTATGGCTACTCCCCTCCAGTGACCTGTGTTGCTATATGTTTATTAGTGATGTAGTTGTAGTAGTTTTTATTTCTTTTTATATAAAATTGTAGGGAAGCGGGTCCCTTAATGGTGTCCCCGACGGGTCAGTTTATAACGCCATCATCATGCCCTGCTGACGAGCTGATAGCATTTATTGCTGACAACCTTGATGAAGCCACACTGCTGCTTACTGAATACAGCATGTAAGTTGTTACTATGTTTTGTTTGTTTACTTTAAACCAATTTTTGTGAGTAGTTGACAAATTCTCATATTTATCGAATTACTATTTAGGAATTGTCAAAATGGAACTTTATTACTTTAAAAAAAACCCTTAATCAATGTTTGCGGGGATCAAAGATTGCAGACCAAGACGTCTCGAACTGTAACGCTGCTTCTCATCGCCGGCTGCTATTTTACGTCTGGCAGAGAGGAGATGGCTGTACTGCTATATGTCGGAAGGCATTAGATCTTTGTGGCATTTTATATAGTCACCTCTTACGACACGAACTCGAGTGATAGAGTATGTTACGTTGCCACGACACAACGATATAAACAAGGCAAAAACACCTAGGCCGATGAACAGAAGTAAAGAGAAACAAGTATAAGGCTCCTGGTACTGCTATCGCAAATCTGCTAATCACGTCAGTTCCGGCTTATCTTCTCAAATTATTGGAGTCCAGGAAAAACGTTTATAAATTAAAGTGCTATTATGTTCTGTTTAAGTACGTAGATCAACATATTAAGGTATGGCCAATGAAACGAGAAAAAATTGTCAACTGGCTGAACTTTATTGAGATGTGTTACGAATACCAGCGATTTGTATATCTGTTATTTTTTCACGCCTACAATAATATCTGAAATAGCTGTTATATAGTATATATTAAAGTAAAGTTACAGCCTATATACGTCCCACTGTTGGGCACAGGCCTCCTCTAATTTCTGAGAGGGTTTTAGGGCAAGGAATAGTCCGCCGCGCTCCCCAATGCGAGATGGCGAACTTATATTTTTTTTTCTTATTTCTCAGACATGCGGGTTTCCTCACGATGTTTTCCTTCACCGCCGAGCACGTGGTAAATCAGCACATAAAATTTCAATTAACAATTTCATTGGTGCCGGCGGGGATCCAACCCTGTTTGCTCGCGTATTGTGAAATTTACAGCGAGCGCTAACCATCTGAGCTACCACGGCTCTATTATAGTACTCTACTATAGTATATATTATTGTGATTTATTTAAACGAAGATACCATTTTATACATACAACACTTAGTATAATATATAGTTTTAAATTTGCAAACGTTTTAATTATTATTAATTAAAAATATCCCAAATAAAAATTTCTATGCTCCTGAAAATTTCTTACATTATTTTATTTCGTATTGTTAAAAAAGTATGCCATATTTTGACATCAAATTAAATTATATTTCAGAAACAAGCACGTAGAGAAAGCTTTATACACTGAGGTAAAGGAACGATTCGGTCTCTTGGAGCTCCACAAAGATGATAACATCACACCGGCACTTATGATTATGTGCTGTCAGAGATTGCTTACTCGAATCGATAAACTGAGTACTGTAAGTTTTATATTATATTATACGAGTATATGATAAACATTGAGATGTCTTTAAAGCATCAGTTCACCATCCCATCTCACTTTTTTATAAAACTAATGACAAACGAACTTGCACTGCGTGTTGAATAAAACAAATTTGATCGCGTTGAGTAATTATATTACTAGCTTGCCAGGCATACGTTATTCTGCCCTTTTAGACGACCCTTTGTCATATCCTATTAAAAATCCTTAAATTCGCTAGAAAAAAAAAGCGTGGGTCACTCATAGGCAAAAAACTATCCTATCTCTCAAGTTGGGCCAAACTGTGCACTATGTGCAATTTTTATTAAAGTAGTTTAGGAGTCCATCGCGGACAAACAACGTGACACGTAATTTATATACATATGTTAAGATTTCCCGACGTTTCGGGTGCTTTACAGCACCCGTGATCACGAGTTTACTGCATAGGATTTTAAGATCGGAACACATTAGTGCACACACTGCTATTTGATGGTAGAAATAGGTATATCCAGACGATAGAGACGGTAAAGGTGTCCTTGTTCATCTCGCAGTAATTCCAAATTTTAAATATCGAAACAAGTTAATCTCCATGGCCCTGGCAATCGGCGGAATATTTAAAGCAAATTATTATTTAGTCTTTAAACGCCTTCAAACTCTTAACCTGAGAAGTATTTTTTTTTCATTACATAGCTCAAAAACTGACTAGTTTCATGCGTAAAATTTTTGAAAAATTCGAAGCATGTATATTTCAGGACTTATCATACATTTTTTCACCTACTTACAAATACGGATCGGGCAACTCTCCCAACTTATTATATTTAATCTTATTAATAATTTATATAATGTAAAATAGGAGAGTTAAAACTACTTTCGCCTAAAATCCAATACATAATTTAGATTGGAGAACTAACAACATAGAGCGTTTACGTGTTAGAGCCATGCTGCAGTTATATTAGTAGTATAGTTATAGCACGAATGAGTCGGCTCGACCGGTGAAGGACCACGCTCTCACAGCATACCAGCGTAAAATAGTAGCTTAATGATGCTGTGTTTCGTATGGTGAGTGTAGAGAACTGGAGACCCTTTTTACTGGAAACGAGGCATTCCATCTTAGTCCTCACGGGTGCGAGGTCGAGGATAGATGTAGATGTCTATGGGTCACAGCAACCACTTACCATCAGGTGGACTGTGTGCTCGTTTGTATAAAAAAAATAGAATACGATGACAAGGACTTGAACAATTTTGAACTGTTGACATATGATGACCAAAGGCATGACCATGGATCTACATATAGTCTTGAACATGCATGTTTATTATATTATATATGCATTGCTTAATTTTACTTAAATAAGATCTATTTTCCTTTCAGAAACTGCGTGGGAACATTCTCTACGTCACTCACTATTACTCGGTATTATCGGAAGGAGTTTTGTGCATACCATGGGATTTTAAATGAATTAAAACGACACGAACGTAGTCATGTAGAAGCCATAAAGATGATGCTGCGGGCCAAACTCATACATTTTTTATGTAACGTTAATAGATTTAGGAGATTTTATAATACAATAAAATTGTGGTAATTTCTCTACTAAATCATTTAATTACACGGTTATTATATTATTTTGTAATCTGTGATAAAGCAAAATATTATGGTAAGCAAATAAAAGGATGTATTGTTCTAAATTGGTTAAACCCATCTGAAATTGTACATACCATATACTTTTTTAGTAGGTAATAAATAATATTTTTTATTGAAACTTTGTTTTTGTTGGTTCCTCTCCTACTGTTGATAATGTTTCGGCAACCTCTTATTGTCGTGTCCGGCACAAAAAACGACTTGAAAAATTGTAAGGTGCACCGGGGCTATTATATTGTAACTAAAAATTTAAGTTGTCTAACTTTGAACCTTCGTAACGGTTACTTATTTACCATTTCAATGTAATGTTGCAGATCTGTAAGTTTACATATTAAATCCAGATTCTTTGAACATTATTCACGCAACGAATAACTTGATAACTAAATGACAATTGTGGGATTACTAAATAAATAAATTTATTCACAAAACTACTTGCTGCAACCAGAAAAAGTTGCATTTGCCCCATGTTGGGTGTAAATGCAACTAAATACCATAAAACGTGTTTCCAGAAAGAGTTTCTAAGTCAAAAATTAAATGGAAACTGAATTTAAACAAATATTATAAGATTTTGAATTCTGTTATGTGATAATATTGTTGAATTTCGTTTAAATCAACCTTTTGTTGATATTGAGGGTAAATGTAACTATTTGAAGTGGAACTATAGCATGGAGTGTAGAGGTAAGGAAGACATTCTCCCGTAAGAAAATAGCTGAAAATGTGTCCATCTGTAAGCAGTAAATAACAGTTCAAAAACTTTTCCCAGCGCTCGAGTAGCTACAGGGTATGATAAATTGCCGTAAAATACGTTGAGTGCTATTGAAAATAAAAATTTTAAAAGCAATATAGTAATTATTGTAAAAAGAATTGTGGTGAAAGTCTGTGTAATTAAAAGATTATAAAAAGTTCTTTAAAATTTAGACTGTAGCTACAGTAGCACCACACTTATTTAGCGCTTACCTACAGATACTTTTTTTATACAGAGTCTGTACTCCTTACCCCTACACTCCATAAACTACAGTCCACGTTGTAGCATGGTGCGAATCACAGCTCACGTCTATGAAAGGGTAGTATGCAGTAGTAGAATATGCAGTGTTTCCAATACATGGACGATAAATTATTCGTTGGTCAGCTCAGGCAAAAAGAATGATTATAGATATGTCAAAAAAACTTTGCTACAAAAACCTACTTTGTATTTTTATTACATTAGATTCGAAAACCAAATTCTCAATAATTTTTAACTTCCGTCCCGATATTTAGCCCATTGGACCTGACAACACTAATACTCATATAGAGAAAGGCGCTAGTACTCGTATCTTGAAAAGCTACCGGTGCAATCAATGCCGTAGTGAAAATTACTAGTATTAGTATTATTAATAGTGACTAAGTTAAATGGAATTTACTATAAAAATCACAATGACATTTATTACACAATGTGCAAGAAAAATTGCAAGTGCTTAATAAAAGTGCCATCGATGTATTTGTATATGAGTGGAATTTAAATTAATTTTATGAAATATTTTCCTATTGTACCGGTTCTGATCCACCGTGTATGTATGTTCTGATACCGGTATGTAATCGTATGAGGTATTTTTGGTTTTGTTAAACAAAAATGAGTGGAAGTAACAACAGTATCACCCCTTATGCCATTGATTATTTTATTGTTGTGTTATTTTATTTACATTCATGTGTACATCGTGCCATAAGGTAAAGTGACAGTACGAGTATCAGTTTGTTTGTGTGTCACATTCAACGAATTTAAAAACAGCCTTATTATTTTTTACTTTAACCATTTAACCACTATTTTCTCCATGGATTTCTTTTTTGATATTTTTCCCTTTTTTCTATTTCAACGTCCTCTTGGTGTTCTGTGTATGGTTTTTCATTTTCCATAAGGAAGATCTTATGGAGAATGAAAAGAAAAGAATGAAAAGAATCCCAGTTTCCACACTCGGAATTATTAGCAGAGTCATACGATCCAATACTTTCACTGTCAAATGATTCGTATTGTTTCCTATTCTTTTTTGTAATTATGGTTTAATTTTTTTTTTTTTTAATTTATTTTATGTACACACATTAAGGTACAGAAGCAGTCTTATAGTAATTACGTACAAAGGTTCTACTTATTCCAAATTCGCTGAAATATCTTCCAGTAGACCCATAAAGGAAATTATATTTAAATTGCAAACTTAGTGCATACATTAGTACTACTAAAAATAAATAATATACACAATGTTACGGAAATTATATAAAATAAAACAATAAATAAAAATAAAATAAATCAATAAATAATAATAATAATTGATACGATAGTTACATATGATATATATATATATATATATATATATATATATATATATATATATATATATATATATATAAATTAACAGGATGCAAAGTAGTAATCTCTAAGACGTTTCTTGAATATCAACAAAGTTTCGGAATTTCTTATATTTGACGGTAGTGAGTTCCATAATCTTACCGCGTGAACTGAAAAGGAGTGGGAGTAATAACCGGAATTAAAGACGGGAAAGTCAAGAAGATTTTTAACAAGGGCTCTACATGGTTTGTCCGGAGAATGGGTGAAGGAAAATCGGCTTCTGAGGTATGTGGGAGAGGAAGGGTTGTGCAAAATGTTATTGAGGACACATAACAATCGAGTGTTCCTTCGAAGTCGAATAGGAAGCCACTTGAGTTGCTTACGAAACTGAGATATACGGTCAAATTTCTTGAGCTCAAATATGAAACGGATACACTGATTTTGCAAACGCTCAAGTTTATTAAGAAGCTCCTCTGTAGCATCCAAATAACAGGCATCCGCATAATCAAGGAGAGGTAGGATAAGAGTAAGCACGAGTGATATTTTAGCTTTAAGGGGTAAGAAATTTTGTAGACATTTAAGCGAATGCAAAGTAAAGTAGACCTTGCGACTAACTTCAGCGATATGCGTGGTCCATGTTAAATGGTGATCAAATATGACGCCTAAGTTTTTGACAGTATTGGCAAAGGGTATAGGAACGCCATTAAAACAAACAAAAGGTAGTGATGTAAATTCTAATCTATTACGCAAATGCCTACTGCCTATTATGATGGCCTGAGATTTCGTGGGATTAACTAATAGTCCGAAGGATGCAGACCATTCACAGATGCGGCCTAGATCCGCATTCATAGCTGCAATTGCATTATTTGTATCACCCACCAGAAAATGACGATAAAGCTGTAAGTTATTTTTTATTGTTTTTTATGTTCTGTGTCCGCATCAAATCGATTTTTCGTCGATGTTTGTTTTCTTTTTTTTTCCTTTTTCTTCTTTTTCTTTTCGCATGCGCTCTTATACCTTAGTACTTCCGCACCACTGTTGATTCGGTTTTTTTTTTTGGGATTTAATTGACCGTTACAATATCGACATAAGACATGACTAGTAACTTTGGTTTCATACTCAATTTCATGGGGCTATTGAAACTAATCTCTTAGTTGCAAAAACCCCATGTGTAGTTTTTGGTGAGGCAAATGTTACTATGCCCATTATTTACTATAAACGGATTATCGGATTAAACAAATACAACAAATATTACTTAAGTTAGCCGATTATCACAAACAGATTCAATAACAGGCGAAAATCTGGTTAGAAATACATATGGATTTTCAATACAAGAACTTTGTAACACCTCCGTGATTCAGAAAATAAAAATGACGGTTTGACAAAATGCTTTACTGTTCATAATTTCGACATTGCTAGCGGTATCTTCGTGTTTTTACGAAAATTAATCATTCTTTCTTCGGATCATATATGTTAGTTTTTATCAAATGCTGTCTAAATTCAGTTGTTGAAATTAGTTACAAAAGCCCCCTAGTTGCAATAGTCCCGGCGCACCTTATAAAATATTAAAACATATTTTTTTATTCTTTCCACTGGGAAAGTAGTCTTTAAACCAAAAAAAGCGATAGGTATAGGTGGACCTTTCGGGTCGCACCTAGACCGCTTTTTTTGGTTTAAAGTCAACCCCATTTCATGCGTTGCGCACGATGAAGCAGCGAGCTGCTGATTAGGGTTCCCCTTACCCTAAAGCTAGGGAGGCAATTGAATGGTCTGTATATGGACGATTTCGTATACTCAGTCGATAACGTAGAGGAAGTTTTGAAAACAATTCCACTATCACATCGTCGAAAGACGCAGCTGAAAAGCTGTAAAAGAATTTGACGATTCTGATACGGTTTGTGTTGGTCACCCGAGTCAGACGGGTTTAGTTTTAAGGTAAAAACGCCCGCTGAGACCTGCACAAAGCGCACGATATTATCATGTGTTGCTAGGTTATGTGATATCATGGGTTTTGTAGCACCGGTAGTGTTGTATGCTAAACTTTAGATTAAGCAACTTTGGTTGTGTGAATGTGATTGACGTGACACACCGTCTGATAACATTGTTCGCTTGTGGCTACGCTTTAGGGAGGAACTCTGTTTAATGAGTGAAAATAAAGTACCCCGTCATGTGGAGCGTGTCATAGACATATCTATGTCTGTCAATCATTAATTTCTCGTGACTGAACCCCGTGACTCGTCCTGTCGTGTAACACAGTCTGTAAAGCCCTTTATGCACACTTTCACATTTTGCTGGCCTGTTTAAGGTTACGCTTAGTCATGGTTTTTATTTTCGTATGTTTGACTAAGGTACCTGCGGGTTATAAGGCCTAGCTAAGGGACATTTGAATAAAACGTGAAATATATTCAATTTGGTCTACATATTTTAATAAAAATCGTTGGATTAGTACATTTTCTAAAAAACATGAACGAAAATTGTAACATTTTTCATAAAGAGAAACAAA